TCTCTATGATGATATGGAGAGAACTTTTATGGACAACAATCGAGTGATGGTCAAATAAAAGATAAAGATTGAAGGCAAAGAGTACATCACGAACAAGGTAAATAAAGGGATTATTTCTATAAAAAAATGAAAAAAAAATGTGGGCAATGAATATTATAAAGCTAAATATAAAATATACAATGAGAAAGTAAAAAAAACAAGTCGAGTGGGAGAAAAAACAAATAATCACCAGGCAATTTGAAAGGGACATGGGAGATGAAAGGAAAACATGGAATACAGTAAATAAACTACTTTATAACAAGGATAGTATTTTGAATGCAGTTCCCAAGCTGAAGGAAAATGAAAAATCCTTGACAGACAATCGAGACATAGCCAATGCCTTCAATGAATACTTTGGTAATATCGGACCTAGACTATCGAAGAACATTCGTACTGCACCAATGCCGCAAGCGGAGGACCAGCCGGCCCGCTCATTTTTTTGACACCAGTGGTAGTAGCGGAAGTAGAAGGGATAATACAGGGGCTAAAAAAAATAAAACTGCAGGGGTTGATGGAATCACTGTGGACAGTGTGCTTAAGCTCAAGCACGAATCGGCAGTAATTCTGACGAAAATTATGGACCTGTCATTCGAAGCTGGTGAGGTGCCCAGCAAGTTGAAGAGTGCCAGAGTCAGACCTTTGTTCAAGGATGGTGACAGAAGCGAAGTTTCGAATTATAGACTTGTGTCAGTTTTGCCTGTGTTGTCCAAAATTGAGGAGATATGTGTCAATTCAAGGTTGCAGGTATTTTTGAATAATAATAAATTGTTGAGTGGAAGTCAATATGGCTTTTGTAAGGACAGAGACACGGAGACAGCAGTTATAGATTTAATTTCAGATATACAGTTAAACATAGATAGTGGTCAAGTATGCGCCTTAGTGTCTCTTGATTTACAGAAAGCCTTTGACATGGTAGACCATAACATACTGTTGGTAAAAATGGAACAAGCTGGAGTAAGAGGCGTGCCCTTGCTTTGGTTTCGAAGCTATTTAGCGAATAGAAGGCAGATGGTAAGCATCAATGGTGTTGAAAGCTCTTTGCAGGATATTGAATGTGGGTACTTCAGGGGTCAGTGTTGAGGCTACGTTGTTTTTGATATATGTGAACTCTATTTGTAAATTGAACTTGGGTGGCACAGTCAAATTGTATGCTAATGATGCAACAATTGTGTATTCTGGGAAGGACACCAATTCTATTAAAGCGGGCATTGCTAGGGATCTGGGAGTAGTGAATGATTGGTTAATGTCGCATAAATTAACGCTCAATATTAAAAAGTCATCGTATATGATATTAAGTAAAAGAAATTTGAACAATAATCACGACATTATGTTTGGAACTCAATCACTAAAGAATGCCTGCACAGTAAAATATTTGGGACTCATTATAGACAGTACATTGTCATGGGCAAATCACATAGAGCGAGTAAGGAGATAAATTGCACCCTTCGTAGGAATCTTGTATAGAGTTGGATACCTCTTGAGGCTAGCTTTACGCAAGAAACTTTATTATGCTCACATATATAGGGCCATATTCTCCGTAGTTCATAAAGCCTGGCTTAGTGGAAACGCTTTGCTTTTTGTGTGACAAAGCCGAGCTTTTCCACTAAGCCAGGCTTTATGAACTACGGAGAATATGGCCCTTAGTCATTTATATTATTTAATTTCTGTCTGGGGAACTGCTGGAAATTCTCTTTTAAAACCATTGCAGACCCTCCAGAATAAAGCCATCAAAAACATTTCAAGTCGAATACTGGTCAAAAGTCAATATTTTGTGAGGGAATAAAATTATTGTAAAACCACTTGCCTTTGGATTTGAAGTCAATCCGCAGTAAAACTCTATTTAAGAAAAGACTGAAACACTATATTATACAGGGTGTCCCACGGTGGATGGCGTATCAGACGTTTATGGAGAACTAAAAAGCGGATCATTTTGAAAATTTGGCAACCGGGATGAACGACCATAATCTACATTTTGAAATTATTTTTGTTTATACGGTGTTGCCGCATCTAATCTAAACCAGTGGCAGCATCGGTATTTTGAATGGAATACCCTATATGTGATTGTATATTTGGATTCTGCGTAAAATTCTGAGCAAATTTCATGTGATGTAGCCTATACCTAAGTTCAACTGTTTTGGAAATATTGACAGTTAAAAATTGACTTTGACAGGCTGTAAAACCTAAACGGTTAATTTTAGAGGTAAACCAATTTTACATTCCTGTCTTAGATTTTCATAAACTATCAATTGACATCAACTTTGAATTTGAACGGAGATTAAATTTAACTGGACTCTTTATTCATGGATTAAATTCAAAGTTGGTGTCAAATAATAGTTAATGCGAATCTAAGATAGGAATGTAAAATAGGTTTTCCTCTAAAATCAACCGTTTAGGTTTTACAGCCTGTCAGAGCTGCAAAAAGTCAATTTTCAACTGCCAATATTTCCAAAACAGTTAAACTTAAGTAAAGGGTATAATATCACATTAAATCTGCTCAGAATTTCACGTAAAATCCAAATATGCAATCACATACAGGGTGTTCCATTTAAAATAGCGATGTTGCCACTAGTTTAGAGTAGAAGCGGCAACACCGCATAGACAAAAATATTTTTGAAGTGTAGATTATGGTCGTTTATCCCAGTTGCCAAATTTTCAAAATGATCTGTTTTTTAGTTTTCCATTAACGTCTAATACGTCATCCACCGTGGGACACCCTGTATTAACTTGTATTGTGGAACATTAAAATAACACAAAATACATTTAATATGTATTTATATTTTCCTAATGTTTATATCTAAAACCTCTACAGTATATTACTTATATGTATAATGATAAGTCCTATGATTTCTGAGTGTGATAAACAATGTGCCAAACTAAATATATGTATAATTTAAGTTGGAATATTTCAAGGTGCCATCTTTTGGGTTCTTTAAGGTAGATTTATATTATTATATATAAGATAAGCTAATTCCTATAGTATAAAATCATCTTCTTTGTATTTTCTTGGAATCAATGAAGCTTTTTAAAACTAAAAAAAGTTTTGAACAAAATGTCGACTAAATTTCAACTTTGAAGCTCAATATTTCGGAAACTCCATAAGCTATAGAAAAAAAAAATTACACAGTCTTGTAGATAATTTAATATCTGTTGGGACAATCGATAATTAGGACTGTATGATGGCCAACAATGAGTTTTCTTCGCTTTCCTAGTCCCAACTTGCTTCTAAAATTCTTCCGAAGGACCAACTGACGAATAAAAGCCCAAAAAGTCAGTAAATACTCTATTTGGATTCAAGCGTTTCAAGCCAGTTTCAAAAAATTATACATTAATGACAATTCTATTACAATGACAATAACAGGTACTAAAATTAACAAAAACTTGACTAAACTGGCCACTCTGATCTATTTCTGATTTTCTACTGAACACTAGTACTAATTAACCTAAAACTATCCTATTTTTAATGGTATAATTCCTGCTTTTGAAGATGAACGAAGGGAGAGATTCGAAGATTTCATATAACCGGCCGGTGCTGTTTCTGATTTAAAAATGAAATTGCAACAATACCCTTTTCAATGATGTATAGTTGTAAGTCATTTTCTCAAATTTAATCGAAGATATGAGCAATTATTCATGAGCATGTCAAGATTTCAAAAAATGTCTACAGCCAAAAAAGAGATTTCCTTTTGGATTTTTTTTTCTGATCTTAATTTTCGAATCTAACTGTAAGAGTTGTTTCTGACTCACTTGGACTGACCCGCTTCATTGACTGAAAAAGTCAAAACTGAGAAAAATTCAAATGTAAACTTTATCCTTTTAATTCAATAAAACAACTATAAGATAACGCAAAACTTTGGCTGCAGACGTATTAATTAAAAATTGATGAAAAATTATATAAAAATATAACAGAAAATGAAAATAAAACAGACAACAGAAGATGAAAATTTCTAAAAAATATATATAATTATGAATTTTAGCTCAACAGTACTTCTCAACGTTCGTCACCATGCTAATCGATACATAAACTGGCTTCAAGGTACTATTCGCTTGTCGTTGAAACAGAACTCCTCTTATGCACAATTGGAAAGCATCAGTGTGTACTTCTGCCCATAATTCTGGATCATACATTGTTAGTACAGGTCTCGATACTAAAATCTCTTTAATAGTATTGAAAGCTCTACTTTGTTCAATATTTCAATCAAATTTAGCATGTTTTTTGGTCAGAGAGGTTAGAGGCCTAGCCACTGACGTACTTCCTGAAATAACCAGCAAAACCCAAAAACTGACGAACAGATCGAACATCTGAAGAAACTGGAAAATTACTAACTGCTTCAGTTTCTCCTTTTCCTGGCTGCACTTCCTCTTTATAAACTTCATGACCTAAATATTCGACTCTTTTTTTGAAAAAATTACATTTTGACAAACGTTATGAGTAGCTAATGCTCGAAACATCCTTTCTTAGATTTGAAAATCCTGTATCAAAATCCTTGCTTGGCAACAAAATATCATCAATGGCCTTTCCATACCTCAAATTCCATAAAACTTTATTTATAGTTCGCTGAAATATTGCAGGCGCATTACATAAGCCAAATGGGACCCACAGGTACTCGTAGTGGCCATCTGGCGTAATAAAACATGTCTTTGACTCTTCTATTTCAATCTGGTGATAACCACTCGCCAGATCTATGCATGTGAAATATTGACAACCCTTTAAATTTTCCAAAATATCATCTGTCATGGAACTTAAATTTGGGTTTCCTGGGGTAAATATGAGGATACATTCAGGTTTTGTCAATATTGAATTTGTGCTCTAGTTGGTGACATAAGAAAAAAAAAGAAAGTTTGACTTTCGTTGTTCAGAACTCAATAGAATAAACTAAGAAAATATTCTTAATGAACCTCAACTTGCAGTACCATAGACCTGAAATAAAATCTTAACAACTATATTTGTTCCAAAATTCCAGATCGTCTCTTCAAATTCTCCTGGACCTTCGACACCGCCGAATCCCTCAAAGTCCGTTTCGGCATGGTCTCGATAGGCAACGGCATCCCTTTGGACGTCTACAACTACACTCTAATGTTTGCCAAACAATTTCCAGTAAACAATTCCAGAATAATCAAAGTACATTCGCAAGTCAAAAAGTCGTTCAACGATTGTTCGGTCATTAATAGAGACCCAAATTCAAGATTCGACGAAGAAATGTTGAATTTGGAAATGGATTATGAGGATTTGGTGCGTCAGTGTACCAGTGCAGGAACTTTGATGTACCAGCTTCGGATCGAGGTGGATCAAATGACTAAGTTTAATAGGAGTTATAGATTTCATGGTATTCGTTAAGAGTTATTGTGTAATGCCAATTTCATTGATACCTTTTGAATTTGAAGGTACCTATTCAGTTATGTGATTTTGGTGTATTTGTGCCATTAATAGTTTTATATTTTAATGTTTTTTACACAAATATTTTTGATAATTTTTATGTAATTTATACATATCTATTATTGTATTTTAATAATATACATTTGACCTAGTACTTAATGATGTATTGTATATGTTACAAAATATATTAATTTTGTAAGAACCTGGATTCAATATTACAGTTAGATTGCTTCAATTAGCATTCCAAAATAATAAATAAAATAATCGAGTCTTTAACAATGGATTTTTCTTTTCAATTATTTCCTTTATTGTTACAAAAACCAAAGAAAATAATTATGAGCTATAAATATCGAATAATTAAAATTCCTGTAATCAAAACTCAACGTCAAGAAAAGTTTCCACAACAAAGCCCATTGGAAACTTTAAGCTTCGACTGGTTGAAATTCTTGTTTATGAAAAGGCGGATAACAATTAAATTAAGGGCGAAGTTTCGGTACTTAAAAACCCATCAAAATGTGCTTTAGAACTTGAAAAAAATTATATTTATTTGTACTCAGAAATTAATTATTGTTAATAATAATCTGAAAATGTTGAGTTTTTTTTTCTTGATAAAACCGAATTGGGCTCTTTTGTTCCGGCATTTTACGTAACATTGGCTTGACAACATCATGAAAATAGACGAGCTTTAGTGAAATTTAATAAAGTTTTAAGCTCAGTCATCTGGAATTTCTCTTCAGAAAACTTTCCTTGTGAAAGCTTATAGGTTTTTGCTCGATAATAATTGCTCATTATTGGTAAGAATTTTCAGTGCAAATTGTATTTCAACATTTTTCGCTCATAGAATATAACTAGATTATCTTTTGAAGCAATTGACAAATATCTGGCATTTCTCGACTTTTCCTAGTAAAATATCTGTGAAAAATCTACCCAGAATAACGGGATAGTAAATCGAAATAATAAGACAAAATTGCATTTTAGTTTTTTCACATTTATTTTCCTTTTGGAATGTCTTTACAATAGCCATCAGACGAAGAATCTATTTCCCATCTCAAAATCCTTTAGCATTTTCTTCCAATAAATAATTAAATCCCCGACTTGAAATTCTAAAGCCAAAATCTGATATAACAACCGATAGCGGAATATTCCTTCCATTGCAATTTATATCTTCGGAGTCTTTTGTTGCTGAAAGATACATTAAGCTTTGGCATCGTTTCTGCCTGGCAAAGTTATGTCGCCTTGCTTTCCGTCCAATAAAAATAGCTTTTTGGAAACTTTAGCAATTTGTAAACTGCTTGATATTAAAAGCGTGACAAATAGTTTTTGCCAGATAAGTTTTGTTTATTACTGTTGTGGTTTTGTATCGCTATTCATGTGTCTAAGGACTTCTGTTTTGAGAGTTTTGCAGTTTGTGAGTTTTCAAAATGCGATTGCAAGAGAGATTCAAACTTAAACAAGTTGTGAAATATATCTGGATTTCTTCCTTAGTTTGCTGCAAGATTGTAATATTTTCCATCAAAACTTGTTCGAATCATAATCAACATTGCAACTGAAATTACTCCAGTTTTTGAATAAATTCAACATTAAAGCAAATAGTATTCTCTCGCTGAAATTCCTCGGACTGTTTACTAAAGATAAAAAAACAATTCGAACCGAGTTTGCATAACTTTTCCGATGGGATCGGATCGTCTAACCGTGGCCTAAAAGAAAAATGGGTATAGCAGGGAAAACTTTGCCAATTTGCGATAATCCGGATATTAAAAGCGCGTTAATGAAATCTGAAGTTGCGAAGAGAGACAATATATTTGGCAAATAAATTGGTATTTAGTAGCTGAATTTCTACAAGTTCTACATTATTTATAATTAGTTATGTATGATGTAGGTATGTACTATTTGACATTAAATAGAGTGAATCTATACATGCGAAACAGAGCTTTAATGAACCTTGTTTTGACTGTCATGAACATGTTTCAGGGAACAATTTGTATTTCATTAAAATTAAGTTTATCGAAACTTAGCATAGTAGTTTTTGGCTTTCGCCATAATCAGTACAGAAGTTAACATTGTGAAAGAACAACGACGACGAGGATAAAAAACATTACTAAACTAAACCAATAATTAACTTTGGCAAATTAACACGATCTTATCTCAGGAGCTATAAGTGCAAATGAGCTGAAATTTTCAGGAATTGTGGTCCCTTGGAAGGGGTAAAATTCAGTTAAAGTTACAGCTTCCTATCTATAATAGAAAAAAAGTTATGACTTTTCAAAATTTTCTAAAATCTAAATCATAAGGTAGGTACTTATATGCTTTTCACTTATTATTGGCGTAGTGGCGTGCCATGGAAATTTGACTGGTTGGCACTCGTATAATAATGACATTTGATGACATAATATTTTTCAAATTTCAGGGTTATGAAACTTAAAGCCGAGTTGCCAGAATGTGTAAAATATCTGAGTAAATTCAAATAGTAAAATTATTTAATTGGAAGAGTTGTGGCGAGCTTTTATCAAACAATGTTCTGAGCTTTTTCCGTCACGATATTCTTCTTTTTCCTGGTCCTCTCTATCCAAATATCTTCCCTTGCAGGATCGTATTGTAACAAAACCTTATCTTTTTGAAAGGGTTGTAAGGTATGGGAGGGTGGGTAAGATCTCGACAATTTTTACATAAGGCCATTTTTTGAGAAAGTGTTAATATACTTAAGCCTACATTTTCAGTTAGATAACCTCAACTATAGGTTACTAAAATGATGTATTAGAGAACCAATTCTGTAAAGCGTTTTCTTTAAAAATAATCTTGTATGTTGCCTTGCTTGAGTCCAATACCTCTCCATCAGAAGGGAGACATTGAAACAAAATAGGGGAGATTTTGGACATGAGCAAAAACATGGGGCATTTAATAAAAATAGTTTATTTCAAGGTAAAGGTAAAATAATATATTTCGCCAAGTAATTATTTTGAAAAATAACTAGAACAGATAGAAGATCTGTTTCCTACATTCTAATTAAATTGAATGGAATTCTTGAAAATTTAAAGAATAGAAAAAAATAAAAACACAAATAAAAAAATCATCACTGCAAACCAAATTACGTCAAATCTAAATTGAAATAAATCATGTCTCTAAATCTCTTTCTTCTATCATTAATGGGAGATGGAAGTGAAGAAGTAGTGTCGTAAAAAGGAACCAAATCTTAATCATCTTTAAGAACTGTGAATCTATTTGATACAACGTGACGTTCTAAGAAGTTCACTTCATATCAATCAACTCTTCTTATAATTTTCGCTGCCTAATTTCTAACACTACTTTTACCGTAAACTTTGTTCTGGAACTTCTTTGTAATCAAAATTTTTCTCGTCGTTGATAAAAAATAATTAATCTTCTGATAAATTATCTTTACATTCAATTCGATCCTCCTCCATATCCCTAATCGCTGTCTGCGGAAGTGTAAGTGGCAATCATGCATCTACCATCTTGGCGCAGGATAGTTTTTTGATGTTGATGGTTGTAGCTCTAGGTTGCCTTTTTGATGTGGATAGTTAGTTGCGGCGCTGGATATGAATAATTATTATAGATGGTGGGAGCCGGTTGATCCATTGCGTGAGAGGAGGAAAAGTCTTCTTCTTTGAAGATGTTTCGATAAAATGGCATTATTTCAGTGCATCTGGAACCTGATTTTTTTGTTTGTTGGTGCAGCGGGTCTAACCCAAGCTTGTTATCATATCACAAGCAAATCCCAGAGCACCACATTCCAAAACACCTTGCATCATTCTCTTGGCATCATAGCGTATGCGGGGAAACGGAAATGCTCAAATTGGCGACAACGCTGTTCCGCTGGAAGAGATTATTCCTACTTGCGTAATCAATTCACCTCTTTCACGAGAAGTGGCTTCTTTCCAAACATTTCAGGAACTCGTTGTACCGTCGTTACACCAGTCTACAAAAAAGAATTTAAAATAACATGAGTGGTTCAAAAAAGATTGAATTTTATCTCATCTAAATTATAAATTTGCATGAGCTCTAGAATTCGTTTGAGCATATTCATAAACTAATCGCCTTGTTGCGTTTGGCTTCAGACCGTAAAATATAGAGGAACACTTCAGTGGATATTTCTCTTAAGCGTTTTTCAACTGCATAGAAAATACTTATGACGTTATAAAATTTGGTGTAACATAACATTTTCTAGACCTTTTTCTTGGACTTGTCTGACATAGTTCAACCCGCGTACTAACACTGGATTTCTTTACTCCATTTTTTCCTATCTGGATAGGACATGTTATTGTCAATCACATCAACTAGCTTGTTTCATGGAATCAAGCCAGAACTCCCTGTCAGTCTTTTTCTATGTTCTTATTGTTATGTTCTTGCTGAACTGAAATGGAATATAATAATATGTTTCAACCATCATGTTGCCACAAGTTTTTGTTGCTGTTTTTCTTTTTGAAGGGAAGCTATGGACAACAAGGGGAGATCCTGTGCAGCCTCTCCCCTTGTGCACTTCATCGGATTAGCTTAAAAATATCAAAACCTCCCATTGGTATTTTCGTTCTGTGACAACATAACTTTATCGGTTAACCTTGCTTTCTACTCTGACACAAAAAGTTAAACAAATAACATTAAAATAAACAATAAAATACTTACCTCGCTTCTTTGAAATATTAGATCAACAATGCCAAAAATACAAAATTCCCATGAGAAGCTTTTTCAAAAAAAAAAAATTTTACAAAAACAATCTGATCTGTGCCGGTTGACCATTCTGGAGATACTGTTGGCACCTTGGCGTGATAGATCAGAAAGCGCAAGAGGCGGGAAATATTAGCGTGTCCATTATCTCCCAGATTCCTGATCCTATCCACCCTCCCCTTATAGTTTTGTCAAAGTAATAGTTCAAATTCAGATCCGTTTTTAGTCCGTCTTATTCAGCTTCCACCATTTCACTTCAAGAATTAGATACCTCCTCAGAT